TAGCTCAATAGGCGCATTCCCCCATATAAGTCAAACAAATCACTTATGGTCGAATGGGTGGTGGTAGAAGTGTCTACTTTGCTAGCCCAACATCAAGGCGACTAGCTCGATAGGCACTTTCCCCTATATAAGTCAAACTAATCACCTATGGTCGAATGGGCTGTGGTAGAAGTGTCTATTTCACTAGCCCAACATCAAGGCGACTAGCTCGATAGGCACATTTCCCCACATAAGTCAAACTAATCACCTACGGTCGAATGGGTGGTGGTGGAAGTATCTACTTTTCTAGCCCAACATCAAGGCGACTAGCTCGATAGGCGCATTTCCCCACATAAGTCAAACTAATCACCTATGGTCGAATGGGTGTTGGTGGAAATGTCTACTTCGCTAGCCCAACATCAAGGCCACTAGCTCGATAGGCGCATTCCCCTACATAAGTCAAACTAATCACATATGGTCGAATGGGTGGTGGCGGAAGTGTCTACTTTGCTAGCCCAACATCAAGGCGACTAGATTAATAGGCGCATTCCCCCACATAAGTCAAACTAATCACCTACGGTCGAATGGGTGGTGGTAGAAGTGTCTACTTCACTAGCCTAACATCTAGGCGGCTAGGTCGATAGGCGCATTCCCCCACATAAGTCAAACTAATCACCTATGGTCGAATAGATGGTGGTAGAAGTGTCCACTTCACTAAGCCTAATATTTAGACGGCTAGTTCGATAGGCGCATTCCTCCACATAAGTCAAACTAATCACCTATGGTCAAATGGGAGGTGGTGGGAGTGTCTACTTCACTAGCCTAACATCTAGACGGCCAGCTAAGTAGGCGTTTCCCCCACATAAGTCAAAATAACCAATTATGGTGAAAAAGTAATAGAGTATATTACTCAATTATTCTTACAAAATCATTATTCTTATAGACAATAATAAAATGCAATTTGAAAAGAAGTTTAAAAATAAAAATAAAAACCGTCTAGTGCACGCCTCAAATAGTTGATTCATAATTATGGTGACATTCACAGATAGTCAAAGAGTGTCGTTTGGGCACTCAATTCATAAAATATATACTTTTTCAGGCTATCAATGTTGCTTGTGCAGGCCCCCCTAAAAAAAAAAATCAAAGATATTCAAATCATGGGTTTTGATGGTGACATTCACTGAGGTGATGTCATGCTTAACTATACAAAACTACTGATGGCCATTGATGTATCAAAAGATTATGACGACTTCAGCAAAACTCACCTTCCCAATGCTCGATTCCACAATCTCTAATTTGCTTTTGAGCGTGCCGCGTGATAATGTGTAGACCTAATGATGGTGATGTTATAAATACGACAAGAGGAGTGTTTTGGGGTTGCGCAAAACGTAGCAATACTCTTGTTATTACCTTCCATACGAGAAGAAATGGCAGACCCTGCATAGCAGAAAAATATATATATATTTAGAGGGCCACACTTCATTATTTTGAAAACAATGTATAATTAGTTTTTATATTTGTTTCATGATTAAAATTCTTACCTCATAAACATGACCAAACTACTTCAAAAATCACCTTTGATGCTAGCAAGCAAGAATCAAACCAGAATCTTGAAGTGGGGGTAATTTGTAGACACTTAAATTTTCACGTGTCTTGATCACCGTCTAATTAATCAAAGAAAATAAATTTTCTTTGATTAGTCAAAATTAAGATGGTCAAAATTTTCAAACGGATATAGGTCCTACTAAAATTATGAATCTTAACCCATTTTAAATTATGCGGCCCCGCTACGTAGCTCGAAAGGCATGGCTCGAGAGTGGCTCAAATTGATGAATTTGCTGCTCTGCTACGCGGGATATACCTCGTTCTGTTTTGATTTGAAAAACAAAACATAAACGAAGTAGGAGAAAGTTTTGAGCACCGTCTCGTCGTAACCTAGCGGAGCCGTGTGGTTGCTGCTGCTGCTGTTTGATTGGAGTGGAAGAGGAGAAAGTTTGTGTGCAAATCGGAGTCTCCACTGACTTCGAACCGGCCTGTTCGTAACCGAGCGAACTGTCTCTTTGTGGCGTCGCTACTGCTGTTTGATCGGAGTGGGAGAGGACGAAGTTGGTGTGCAAATCAGACTCTTCACAGTTGTGGATAAGGTATTTCCTCTTGGCGTTTTATTTCCCCTTGTGCCATTCCTCTTCCATTGCTCTGTCATTGTTGCTGCCATGGTTGCCATGGCTGGTAGCTAAATCAGACTAATTAAGTAACAAGCCTTCAATTCTCTTTCTCTGTCTCTCTCTCTGATTCAAACAATCTCCTGCTTAATGCTTTTGTTCTTGGCCAAATATTATAATATTCTATTCCAATATTTTTTAAGCCAATCAATGATCTCAAAGATAAATTCTAATGTTTTCATATAAACACAATTGATGAATGCATTTACCCCATATATGACTTCATTAAACTCTTTGTTTTCAGAGAATTCCTTAACTTGCATCAAAATACTTGTCTGTTTCAGACTTATTAGGAGCCATATATTCTTTGTAAATGACGAAAGGTCCATTAGAATATTTGAGGAGATATGAAATTTGTCTAGTGCACACTATTTTAGCATACCGAACCACTAAAGCTGTATGATACCTTATGGGAGATTGATATTGTTACCATTAAATCCTTTTTAGAAAAAGCATGTAGTTTCTGAAAGTAAACTTCAGGGAACTAGCTCATCAATTCTAATTGTTTATTAGTTCCTTGGGTGTCCAATAATGGAAATTTTGGTTTGGTCTGATGTGTTTGTTGTAGTTAGAATTTGCATGCCATTGGGTCGGCATTTCCTTAAAAAAAGTTAGAAGACTCTCAATTGTTTATATCGAATCTTTGAAATAAATAAATAGTTGTTAGAAAAACAATCAGGCCCAGTCGGTTGCTATAGGAAGATAATTGATGTGAATTAGATCTCATAGAAAATATAATATAACTGTAGAATTTCAATTTAGAGACAAGACAACCAAAGCCTCCTTAGCATGATTTTGTGTTCTATTAACTTGTTCATCCATGGCATGGCTGTCCTTAGTTGACCCTTTGTTTCAAATGCAAATTAAAATTAAAATTCATTCTACTTGCTTTGAAATTGTAGCTAACAATGTCTGTTGTATTTAACTTTGACACTATAATGGATATTGATTCAAACAATAATTCATTGAATGGGAGTGAGGAAGTTGAAGAACAGGATAACAATCTTGATATTAACGAAATTGGCGAAGTTGAAGAACCCAAGAAGGGGATGTATTTTGGCTCAAAACAAGAAGTGTACGCATTTTATGCACAATATGCGAAACACTGTGGATTTGCTATAGCTTTTAGATCACAAAATCTAACAACTGATGGGGAAGTGAAGTACTTTGGAATTGAATGTACTCGGGTGAGGTTGAGAACAAAAAGATCAGAAATCAATCCCTTGGAACCATCTTTGTCAACCAAAATTGATTGTAAAGCAAGGGTTAGAGCTAGTCTACAAAACGATGGGAGATATAAGTTAACCACAGTTGTGCTTGAGCACACTCATGATTTAATTCCTGCAGACTCATGGCATTTTTCAATCAATAAGAGGATTCGTACTCCGGTCAAGAGAAGACTAGAAGTGAACAATGCAGTAGGGATTGGGGTGGCAAGGAATTTTCATTCCATAGTTGTTGAAGCAGGGGGATATGAGGCATTAACGTTTGATGAACGAGATGCAAGGAATTATATTGAGAATGCTAGAAGATTGAGACTTGGGCTAGGAGACGCCGAATCAGTTACACTTTATTTCCATAAAATGCAACAACAAAATTCGAACTTCTATTTGGCAATTGACCTTGATGAAGATGGTAGCATGCGAAACTTGTTTTGGGCAGATGCAAGGAGTAGGGCGGCTTATAAAGCGTTTGGGGATGTTGTCTCATTTGACACAACCTATTTGACAAACAAGTATGATATGTCATTTGCTCCGTTTGTAGGAGTTAATCACCATGGACAATCAATCTTGTTTGGATGTGGGTTGTTATCTAATGAGAACACTGAGACATTTGTGTGGCTATTTAAAGAATGGTTAAGTTGCATGTCAGATGCTCCTTCAAAAGCAATAATGACTGACCAGTGTAGAGCTATGTAAAATGCCACAGAAATAGTTTTCCCACAGGCTCGACATCGTTGGTGCTTATGGCATGTGATGAAGAAAATTCCGGAGAAACTAAGAGGATATTCACAATATGAAGGCATAAAGGTTGCTTTGCAAAATGCTGTTTATGATTCATTGACGAAAGATGAATTTGAGGGAAATTGGCTTACAATGGTTACAAAATTCAATTTGAATGATAACGAGTGGTTAGAGGTATTATACCGTGAGCGACATAGGTGGATTCCTGCCTATGTGAAAGACATATTTTGGGCTGGCATGTCAACTACCGGTAGAAGTGAGAGCATGAATGCATTTTTTGATGGATAGGTGAACTCGAAGACTACCTTCAAGCAATTTGTTGAGCAATATGACAATGCCTTGATAAGTAAGGTGGAAAAGGAGACAAAAGAAGATTTCAAATCTCGTAACCAATTGTATGATTGCCTAACGGTGTATCATTTTGAGAAGCAATTTCGTGCAGCATACACAAATGTAAAATTTAAAGAAGTTCAAGCAGAAATGAAGCGTTTAGTGTACTGTCGTCCGAATCTTACAAAAGAGGAGGGATCAATTTGTACGTATCATGTGAGGGAGGCTATTCTTTTGGGTGAGGGTATGAAGAAAGTAGAATTTATCGTGTACTGTAATTCAACTGAATGTGAGCTCCAATGTATGTGTCGGTTGTTTCAGTTTAGAGGTATTATGTGTGCCCATTCACTTAGTGTGCTCGTTGAGAGGTCCATATATGAGGTGCCACATAAATACATTGTCTCGAGATGGAGAAAAGATTTGGAATGAGGGTATACATGCATTCCAACCACATATACTAACTTCGGGGCTATTATAAATCCAAAGTTGCATGATTCATATCACAAGACGTTAGATGAGATCCTATAACTTGCCACCAATGACGATGGTAAACACAAAGTGATTCAACTTGGGTTGAGGGAAATCAAGGATCGAGTGAAAACTATTGAATCGGGTACTGCGAGTAATGTGCCATGTACTAGTACTGTACCACCTTCTACTAGTATTGTACCACCTTCTCATAGTTCACCGAAAAGTCCGCCACGTCTGAATACTACAAAAGCAAGCAACACTCGGAAGGTAGTCAGTCCTTTGATTGCTCCCCGAAGAGGGCGTCCATGTACGAGGCGGAAGGTTAGCAAGGTTGATCAAATAGTTAATCGGTTGAAGAGAAAGAACAAGAAGACTACTCCCGCACAGGTAAATACTTGGCATAGGTTGTTTCGTAACCCTTTTGTGGATTCATAGTTGAATGGTTACAATTAGTAATGAAATTGTGTTACTATTTCATATAGGTGCCGGAAGATGAAGCTTACTATTTTCCTTCTATGGTTGGCACACAAGATAGTATGTATGTTCCGGTATGTGTTGAATGGACTTAAAATATTGCAGTTTGCTTCTTGTTGGGTTTTATGTTCATGCTTCAAATTATTAATAACATTGTCTTACTATATAATCATAAGGTGCCGCACGATGAAGCTTACTATTTTTCTTCTATGGTGGGCACAGAAGACAACATGTCTGTACCGGTACGTGTTCAATATATGAGTACACATTTGTAATGATTAATGTATTGGTCAATATTTTTTTAAATCATTTTGTAATATGTACCTTGTTTTTATAGGCACGGGTTTGCACAATGGGAATGCCGGACAATATTGGAAGCACATCAGGAATGGTCAACAATCTAAGCGGTCAAAGTTCTACAGTACCATCGCTATTGGATCCAAATGCCCCATTTTATTTTTAATGTAATACACTTTTCAATGTATGTTCAATGTAATACACTGTTCAATGTCTGTGTTCTACCATTTTTGTCTGTGTTCAATGTCTGTGTTCTACTATTTTTGTCTCCTTTGATAAACAAGTTCAATGTCTTTGTATGTTCCGGTTCTGTTCAATGTAATACACTGTTCAATGTCTCCTTTGATCAATGTCTCTCTGTTTGTCTCCTTTGATCAATGTCTGTGTTCTTAAAATTTGTTCAATAAACAGGTTCAATTACTGGTCTGTGTTGTTGCAACAAAAAAATATGTTGCTGGTCTGTTTTGTTCACTACACAGGTTCAACTGGACAGGTTCAGTTACACAGGTTCAGGTTCATCTGGACAGGTTCACTACACAGGTTCAAACAGACCCAAATGCATGTCAATTAAACTCTGTGAATTTGTGAAAAGCTCTGTGAATTTATGTGAATTAGTTCAAACCTGTGTGACTGAAACCTGTTCTAACAGACCTGTCTAAATTTGTTCAGACAAACCCACAAACCTGTGTGAATTTGTTCAAACAGACCCAGAAACATGGAGACAGATGCATGTCAATTAGACTCTGTCAATTAGTTAAAACCTGTGTGAATTTGTGTAAAATTGTTGAAACCTGTGTGACTTTGTGAAACGTGTGTGACTACAGACCCAAATCTGTGTTAAACCTGTGTGAATGTGTTAAACTTGTGTTAAACCTCTTTGAAACCTGTGTGAATTTGTGACTACACCTGTTCAAACAGACATGAGTCAAACCTGTGTTCAAACAGACCCAAATCTGTGTTAAACCTGTGTAAATGTGTTAAACCTGTGTTAAACCTGTTTGAAACCTGTGTGAATTTGTGACTACACCTATTCAAACAGACATGAGTAAAACCTGTGTTCAAACAGACCCAAATCTGTGTTAAACCTGTATGAATGTGTTAAACCTGTGTTAAACCTGCTCCAGATTTTGAACAGATCTGCTGAAAACTGCCTGAATGATCAATCTGTGCATCTGCCTTAATGCTCAATCTGTTATGGTTGTTCATTCAAACAGATGCATTGAAACAGATTCATTATAAAATGCTCCAGGTTATGGTTGTTCATTCTGTTCATTCAATCTGTTATGGTTGTTCAATCCATAATAAAACAGATCCATTCAAACACTACATTCATTTTTGGTAATAGAATACATCCATTACATAATATGTCGACAACAAAATACGTTCATTACAAAATACACGCATTACATAATAGAATACGTCATTCACATATGTCCATTACATCCATTCAAACACTTCCCAAGATATGTCTATTACATTCATTTACATGATAAAGTAAAAAACTACACAAAATACAATGACATAAGCCATTGCCTTGAAAATCTTCTCCATCCTTTCGAGCCTTCTATCATGCTCACCAACCCTTCTCCTTAGCTCATTGATTTCTTCAATTCTTATATCTGTGGAGGGAACATCATTGTCATCATCATCTGCGAAGCTGAAGAAATTGCAGTGTTCGTTCATACTCTACAATGCACAAGAATCGGTTAATCAAATAAGACAAATGAAATTTGTAAAAAGTGAAACATTAATTTATAGAACAGATACTTACATATTTGTCTGGGCAAACAAAAAACACACGTCCTTCATTTCCATTCTCATTAGTTCGTACAATGTGCACAGATGCTGTTCTTCCACAATAACAGAATCTTGGGTTTAATCTTATTTTCATATGATTAGTAGAAGATGACGCCATTTTTTTTATCTGAAAAAAAAAATACCAATAGATTCAACTACAATTCTGCTTCAGGTATGGTGTCCCTTATTCTATTACAGTCACTTTTGGTCTATAACATTGACAAAGAGATGTAAGGACTTCACATACAATTCTGCTTCAGGTATGGTGTCACCTAGGCTGAAAGATGAATAAACTATGTCATTGAGCCTAGCATAAAACTGGTCAAAGGTCTCAGTAACTATGAAAGTCTTTGTGCCTAGCATAAAACTGTTAAGATAAATGAACTATGTCATTGAGCCTAGTAAAACTGTATTGAAATGCACATACCAAGTGTATTGAGCCTAGTAAAATTATAATTTTCAAATGAGCCTAGTAAAATTATAGAGCCATCTATCATTGAGCCTAGCATGAAAACTATGTCAAGCCATCAAATTGAAATACAAATCTGAAATACACATCTGTATAAACTATGTCAATTTGTTCCCTCATCAATAACTTTCAAAACATACCAAGTGTCTTTGGCATAACATATTAAGTGCTAATCTCAAAACATACCATCTTGGATTTTCTAACATATTAAGTGCCTTATGTAAAATTCAATCAAATGGACACAGATTCAATGTTATTTCAATGCTAACAGATTCAAGCAGATTCAAACATATTCAATGCTAACAGATTCAATGAATACAATTGGCATGCTAACAGATTCAATCAAATGGACACAGAGGATAACCAATGAAATATACACTTGGTATGTGATAGTTTTCAATCTGTTATTGATTTGTATTTCAATCCTAACAGAATAGACACAGAGTGTATGTCAAGCCATCAAATGTATTGAATACAAATGACCATAGTTTTCAAATTAGAATACAAACAAATGGATTGAATCTGTTAACCCAACACAGATACATAGGTGAATACAAACAAAATACAAATGGCTTGGTATTTTTGGGGTTTAGTACAAATTAGTCGAGGATCTGTTCACTATTTGAATCTGTTAACCCAACACAGACACCTAATGAAACAAACCAAGCCATCAAATGAATCTGTATTTTTGGGTATGTTCACCATTTCAATCTAATAACCCATTTGAATCTGCATTTTTGGGTATGTTAACCAATCAAACATACCAAGCAATCAAATGAAAACTATCACATACCAAGCCATCAGATTGTATTCAAATTAGCATTTCAAATGGACACAAAGGCTAACAGATTCAATGATAGTTTTCAATACATTTTATTGGTTTTGCTTGAAATGCAAAACACCTAAGATCCTTGACTAATTTCTACAAAAAGTTAGTCGTCCTCAGTCGTCCAAACATTATTATAAACCCTAATTTCTACTAAACCCTAACATAGCTAATTTCTATAAAAAAAAATCGACTAATTTCTACAAAAAATTGATGCCAAACGTAAACCCTAGCATGGCTCGATTTGGGGTTTACCTCAGTCGTCCTTCGGTTTACCTCAGTCGTCCTTCGTACTACTTCAACAGACAGGTGAGAGATAGAGAGGATGTGTAGTCGATATGAGAGGCGAGGGGAATGAGGCCTGGGCCAAGAAAAGGAAGAAGAAGAAAAATAAATAAATAAATAAAACAAAAAACGAAACCCAAAACGATGTCGTTTTGGGTTTCGAGCCAATTCGAGCCAACGGCTTTCGAGCCCTGAAACATTTTCCTTCCTTTTTACCACTACATAAAATCATGTAATTACACATTATTCACTATTACTAAAATAATAGTGGTTACACAAAACATATCTAAATAAATGATTTATACAAAGCGAACTGAGGTGCAGTAATTTCACTTTCTTTAAAGATATTCAAATCCTCTATGGTTGGTAAATTTTTCAACCATCTAGTGCAATAAATTATCTCAAATGGCTTGTCTCCCTCAAGATATAACAACTATAGCTCGTGTTTATTTAAATCATCTTTGCACAAAAAAGTTAAATCCAAAGCTTTACTCCAAGGAATGTGTCAAATTTTAACAACGTATGGTAGTCCGAATTTTTATAGCTCGAATGGCTTGAATGTCATAAAATGACGTCATTTTGAAGAAAAAACGATGTCATTTTAATACATTTGAACTGTTTAGGTTACACAAATTTGGACTACCAAATATTTTTTGATCAAATTTATAGAAAATGGGAGGAACTCTAAGACACTCGGCCCCTACATCATGAATTTACTACATGATGTGAAATGCAACTAAGCCATTACAATGCTCTGGCTGGGTTGATGTTGATCTTTGTATTTTATCATCAATAAAAAAATTTATTTTTTGCTATAAAAAAATTTATTTTTTGCTTGAAAAAAATAAATAAATAAAGCAATGCTCTGGCTGACTCTCTCTCTCTCTCTCTCAGACTTCTTTCTTGATCATATACTGCCTTGTCTTGGGCTCCACAAAAACTCCCTGGAAAAAGTCAAATTTATAGAAAATGAGAGCAACTTTAAGTGCTATTTTAGAAAGATAGTTAAAAGTCATTTTTAGATTTTTAATTCATTTTAGGTCACATTATTTCTCATATATTTTATATGTTTTTTTAAAAAAAAATTAAAAAATCAACTTTTAACTATCTTCCGCAATGAATTTACTGCATGATATGAAATGCAACTAACCCATTAGAATGCACCGACTGAGTTGATGTTCATCTTTATATTTTGTACTTGGATTATTATCAATAAAATTTCTTATTTTTTGGTTTAAAAAAAAAAATGTTGTCTGACTCTCTCTCTCTCTCTCTCTCTCTCTGAGATATACATAGGTAAGTGAAAACTATCACGACTTATTTACTTCAAAAACAATGATGCATGTCCTTACAATCATATTATTTTAATATTAAAATACACCAACATCTAACAAATATCCGCTAGACTAAAAGGTAAGTTCTATAGAACGGCTATTAGACCAGTGATATTGTATGGGACGGAGTGTTGGGCAACCAAGAAACAATATGTAGTAACGAGATAAGGATGCTGAGGTGGATGTGTGACAAGACTAGACAAGACAGAATTAGGAATGAGTGTCTTCGGAAATGAGTAGGAGTAGTATCGATAGAAGATAAGTTGAGAGAAAATCGATTGAAATGGTTTTTGTCATATTCAACGGAAACCAACAGAGGCAGTAATGAAGAGATGCGATGTAGTGATGGTAGATGGAAGTGTTAAGGGACCGGGTATGCCTAGATTAACGTTGGCTAGTGTTATAAATAAAGATATGGATCTACTTAATTTGACTAACGAAAAGACCTTTGAAAGACTCACGGGAAGAAGAATGATTCATGTAACCGACCCCATTTAATGGGACTTAAGGATTGGTTTCGTTACCAACACCCAACACTTTTGTTACTCATATATTGACAACCAACTTTATCTCCATCTCCATCTTCCTCTTCCTTCTTGGTCTTCCTTCATTCACACAGAGACGATTGAAGTGAGAGAAAAGG